TGCCAAACTCCTCTCCCAGTTCACTAGCCTTTACCCAGACGTATTCCACTACCTGAAATGTGAACTGTCGTCTATGCTTGTTCTCAGAGGCAATCATTGCCTCTTGAGACTTTCTCATATGCTCGACAGCCTGCTGCAACAGTTCCTCATACTGGACACCAAATTCAATGGTTCCAGGCGTTGCAGTGGGTCAATTTTCAGGTAGAAGGAAATCTAGAGCAGATCTAGGCTTCCACCCCAAATGCAGCTGGGTAGGAGTGACACCAGTGGTGCTCTACAGCGTTATTGTACGGACTGGCGATAAGAGGAAGTTTCTCATCCCAGTCATCTTGACTGGGCTTGAAGTAATGCCTCAGCAGATGCTGCACCACACGGTTCATCTGTTCCGCCTGACCATTTTCTTCGGGATGATTCCCCAAAGTCATTTGGAGTAGACTGCCCATCTGTTCAGCAGCCTTCTTCCACATTTCACTTGTGAATCTGATATCTCTGTCATGACAATGGTTTTAGGCAGTCCAAAGTCACGCACCCAGTTATCCATGAATAACTTGATGACGTGCTCTGTTTCTTTTTACACTAACCTATATTCTTCTCTCGATATATCTCCCTCTGCCTACCTACCTACACGCAGCTCAGCAATCCACTACAGAGTTTGTCCAAGGGAAGAAATCTCTCCTAAGTTAAGGGTCGACTAGTCTCTTCTCTGTGCGGGGAGCAGCACCCAAGCTTCTAACACCAGGCGCGAGCTGGAAAGCGCCAATAGTCGCTTGCCCGCCTGCCCGGAGGCCCAAGCCAATTATCTCCGCTGGAGAACCCGAAGTGCATCACAGGAGGCCGTGGGGATAGAATGGATGCCGCAGGGAATCGAACCCACGACCCCCTGCAAACCACTTCCGTGCTCAAACCAACTGAGCTAACCTCTGTTTTTTCTGTTTCTGATATAGGGATTAGTCTAGCGTATTTAGTAAACCTATCAACTAATGACGAATATGTGCCTTTTGCCTCTCTTGCTGGTCACGAGGGTATCCATGAAGTCCATGGAGATAATTTCTCACACACTCTAGCAGGAATGGGCAATGGCTTCAATAACCCGAGCGGAGCTCGAGTTCGTGGCTTGTCCCGCTGACAGACTTGACAAGTCTGTACGTACTTCTTTACATCGTCAAGCATATTAGGCAACCAGAAATGCTACACTAAATTAGCACTAGTCTTCTTGTAGCCGAAGTGACCAGTCGCGTCATGACATTCGCCTAAAAACAAACTACGCAAGATTTCACTACATGGAACAACTAATCTTTTGAACCCATCCCCCATCACAAACTCATCTAATGCTGCCTTGTCTTGGGCCTCAAGTTTGTGCATAATGTCCCCCGCAACGGGTTCTTCCTTGCAGGCTTCCACCATTATCCAAGTTACATCGTCAGGTAAGCCAAACCCAGTTATTAGCGCACCTAGGTAGTCTGCCCTTCATGAAAGCGCATCAGTGACCTTGTTGTACTCTCCCTTCACATAGTCTAGCTTGAAGTCATACTGATCAATGACTTCAATCCAGCGTTTAAGTGCATCGGAGAGATCAGGTTGTGTCTTGATCCACTTGAGTATCCGATGGTCATCTCTCAAATAAACAAACCTTCCCAACAAACAGTGTCTCCAGTGGACAAGGGCTTTGTAGAGGGCATAGAGTTCCCTTTCATAGGTGGACTTCGCCAAATCCTTTGATGGCATCTTCTTACTCTCGAAGCACGTAGCACCAAGCTCACAAAGCACGTAGCACCAAGCTCACAAAGCACGTAGCACCAAAGCCCGAAGCACCTAGCACCGAGGGGCAGGAGAGGAGGTGGGGCAGGGGGCTTGGGGGGGGGAGGGGGAGAGAGAGAGAGAGAGAGAGAGAGAGAGAGAGAGAGAGAGAGGTCGCGTGAGCAGGTCACGTATGGTGGGCACGTCCACCAGTGCAGTGCAGGTAGGTCACGCAGGGCCGGGACATCTGCAGCGCAAGTCAGTGGTAGGGTAGGCCGTGCAGGGTAGGTCGCGCAGGGCAGGCTCATAGGATTGTGCACATAGTGGACCTAGGCCAGGTGAGTTCAATAGTGCAGGCAGGTCGCGTAGGTGGGCCAGCCTGACTTCTGTTTTACTTTTTTCCATGCACACTGCTCTTAACCGGAAAGAGACTCCGCACCCTGAAGTAAAAAAGAACAACTTGACCTACCCCAGAGACAGATACAAGCACATCGATCAAAGCACAGACCTTTGCATCCTTTCAGAGTTTCCTTTTTTTTCCTTGGTCGGCACCCCCCAGCGGCCTCCACGTACACAGCCTGCGTCACATAAGCATTCGTAGGGGAAGAGATAGAACCTGGGCTTCCAGAGTGGCCCGGGACCACTTGCCCGGCCAGGAAAAAAACAATAATAATAATAATAATAATAATAATAATAATAATAATGTTTTTTTTTTTTTAATTTGGTAAAGAATTTCGATGTGACCATGAGGCAAAAGTTGTTCAGTTTATTTTTCTGCATAACATAGTCGTTTTTCCGGATTGTTTTGACCTTCTCCGATCCTTGCCCGGCTGGCGGCCTAGCATCGAACACAAGACGGAGTCATTCATTAATATCATTGTCCATGCTCCCCACACATGCCAACCAGACAAAGTAAACACAGCTCACACAAAACAAGAAACGCAGGCAGAGGTGTCACACACTGCATGGCCAACAGACTTCACATAGCACACACGGCAACCTGATTTGACAAGATGCATTGAACATATGTGAAATGTAAAAGCATCACCCAACTGCCACATGATAAACCAACCACACAGCACACGGGACACATTCATCATGGTAAAAAAAAAAAAAAGAGTCCATTGCACAACTCCACTTTCTGTAGCACACAGAGTGACGGGCAAAGTTCTGCAAATACCAGACAGGGTCCCAGAAGTCCACAACGAGGGAAGAGCACCGTGGGGCATATCAGTAAAGATAGTGCAGACGAAGATACGCCGAGATGTGCTCAACGACAGCAAGAGCAATATCTCATTCAGGATTTATGCCCCCAACTCCTCCTTCCACTCTTTCGTCCTCTCCCAACTCCCCTCTCTCTTTCTCTCTCTCTCACACACGCACACGCAGAGCACAACCGGTGTGGGTTTTGCTATCAAATGTACATCCACAGCCAGAAAGGAACACCGTGGGGTATATCAGTAAAGATAGCACAGAAGAAGATGCGTTGAGATATGCTCAAAGACAGTCAGAGCAGCATTGAATATGTCCTTCAAGATTTACGCCCCCACTTCCTCCTACCGCGCTCTTCTTTCTTTTCCGACTCTCACACACAAAGAGCACAATTGGTGTGGGTTTGGCTATCAAATGTACATCTCCAAAGTTTATAACCGCTTCCATACCATTTCAAAATTTGTAGGCATTGCGCACTGGATAAAAGCAGGGTAGCAGTATCTATGCACAAGGCAACTCCACATGGACGGACCCGCTGTTTTGCAGCACCAGTTGAGTGTACCATATTTGTATTTACCCCGTATTGGAATGGTTTGGTGTGATTTCAATTTTGTCCTCGTTATTTTGACATTTTTTTTGTTTGTCCTTCCTTTCAATTGTCGGCAGAAGGCCTCAGTACATGTCTGCAAAACTGGCTACCAGGACTCACTGGCAAAACAGCCAAACCAGTACGCCTAAAATGCCAGCGAACCAGTACCTTCCAGTTCCACTGCCTCCCTTGCATTTCCTGTGTTTCACCAACATGCGTTCACTGCATGCCCCACAGAAACAGTGTCACACACTGTCAGCAAGGCAGGTATGCCCGCAACTTGAGTCATGTGAGTATGTAAAGTGCACTACTGGACGTAAGAAGAAAGACAGCTGATTTCCAGAGTCTTTGCAGGCTGGCACCCTATTCTTCATTTGAGGCATAGTAGGCATACTGTTCTTGTAAAGGTACTTCTGGACTCTGGGGTGTGGGATGGGATGCAGTGTGCGCGCGCGCGCGCGCGAGAGAGAGAGAGAGAGAGAGAGAGAGAGAGAGAGAGAGAGAGAGAGAGACGGAACTGAGGCCAGTGCCATAGACATAACAAGTGAGTTCAACACACAAACTCTGTTCAGCATTTCAAGTACAACACACACTTTTTCTCAGTTGGGAGATCATCAGGCTGCAACAGAAAGCCCCACACCATCCCACAAAACAGGGGTTCGTCCCCACCTCACCTTTCGTCCAATAAGGTCGAAGGTAACAACCACTTTCCTTCGCTTCTCTTCCTCAGCCCTTTCTCTCTCTTCCATTTGCTTCTTCAATCTCTTCTTCTCCTGTTTATAGAGCAGAAGCACAAGAGCCATCTGACACATAAGTAAACACAATAGAAACTGGAAAGGCAGAAACCGAAAGTTAATGGCTTTCGAACAGATGCACTCAAGGCAGAACATGGTGATCATCAAAACCAGTGGCAGTGATTCTAACCTGCTACCCTTTACCGAAACTCGATGGCTTCAGCGAGATTACCTTCTCTCACAGTTATAGTCGATAGGCTAGCTTCACTCAGAGTTAAAGGACTGGTCCAGGCGCTGGATGGAGAGATCGAGCAACAACGAAAAATTTGTCCAGCAGAGCTTTCAGATTKGTCCACAAGTTTTGTAGAATGTCCTTTCTCAATAATCTGTTTTTCCCTTATAGTCGATAGGCTAGCTTCACTCAAGAGTTAAAAAGGACTGGACTGCTCCAGGCACTGGATGGAGAGCTCAAGCAACAACGAAAAATTTGTCCAGCAGAGCTTTCAGGTTTGTCCACAAGTTTTGTAGAATGTCCTTTCTCAATAATCTGTTTTTCCCCCTCTTTAGAGAGCCACTGGCTGCAGCCAATCACGACAACTCGATCAACTCCTCTCACAGTTAGAAAAAAAGCTGCAGAGTTTGCCCTCCGAGCACTGGACACGAAGAAAAGGAACCGGCACTTTGCTCACTTTGGAGGCAAAAGTTCCTTTCCGAACTGGCTCAACTGGGGAGTAGCAAAATGGACATCATCTGTGACATGACCTTTTCATCCCTTAAGAATTGTCAGCAGCGTCCCCTTCCTAGTTTAGGCATCACATTCTCTGCGACTTCGTGAAACTTCTCATTGCGTCTCATGCTAATTGCAGAACCCAGTGATTACAATGCAGGAGGTCTACGGGAAAAGGGTACGATGGTCTCCTACTATTCTCCTACCAAGACAAAGAAAAACAGGAAAGTGCCAATAAAAGAAAAGCGAATCCATTGAGAATCGTGAAATAGGCACAAATGGGGAAATTGAGCGAAAAGTTGTCTTCAAAAACGAACCTAGTTTGCTTCTCCAGAGCAATACATCTTGAACCGCGGAAAGCACAACAAGTCTTCCCCGACTGATGACATTCAAGTCGATTCAACCTTTCTATATCAATGAATGAAGGGGCTTGGTACAGGCACCCCACCACAAATGTCCGTGTTAAACAGAACATGGTCTCAAAATAAACATGCCACGCTGGACCAAAAGGGAGCAAGATTAGGACAGAAATTGCAAGCTGGTAAGATACCCATGCCCCTGCAACACACTGCTATCAAATTCGAAGTTCATTCTTATGATCTTATCACACTACTCCCAAACCCACCATTGATCCCATGCAATGGATAAAATCACATTTGTATGTTCAGTGGATCCACCTCAGAAAGAAGGAAAGAAAGAAAGAAAGAGGAAAAAAAAACAAAAAAAAAACAATACCACCCATAAGAAATGACAACAATCTCAACCTTTCCCAGAATGAAAACCTTCCGAAAAGCCTTCAATAGACTTGTCAATTCTTGTCCTTCCGGACATCCGGTAAAATTGGAACGATACAGAGAAGATTAGCATGACCCCTGGGCATGGATGACACACACAAATTGAGAAATGGACCAAATTTTTTAAGAAGAAAAAATAAAAGACTTGTCGATTCTTACTGTCAGAACCTTGCCAGCCTAGCGATTCATACTCGATTGGGCCTAAGCATGTCTAACTTTGGCTGGTGAAGTGAAAAGAAAGAAGTGATCTGCAATAGATGGTATAATTTTGGCATTATTTTGCCAAAGTTCAATAAAGAGCGATAACCCCATCGGGCTCGTGCCTTCTTTTAACCACCATCTCCACACCATTGTGACAATAATGAGGGGTAAATACCAAATATCACATAAACCACCAGTGCCTATCAAAGGCAAACTGTTGCTACGAATTTGACCACCGGCACATTCTTCAGATGAGCAGTGCTACCAGACCAAAATGGCTGGCATGCCAGCCAAAAAAGGAAAAGAAAACATGCGAGCGCCGCTGGCAGTTCCTCCATTGTTAGCGGGGGATAAAAAATATTTTTTGGCGCGGAATGCAAATCCACGTTGGGAAAAGAGGCTTGGAGGTACTGGTGGTTTATAAGGGTTCGCCCAGAAAAATTCTACGTCACACGCAAACACATCGATGATGGACATAAAAGCCAGTTTATTCTCACTCCTGCCAACAGTTTTCTGTACATAATATTGTCACAGCTGTGTGTCGCACGGTGGGCCATACAAGGCAGGGTTTCACCATACCTGGCCACCACACAGAGCCTACCTGCACTGTGTGATACGTGGAGCCCTGTGCAGTGTACAGGTTGGCTATGAAGTGCATGGGGCATTGCAGAGATACAGAGGCCAATTCGAGACGGAGCCCAAGGATGATCCAGCCTCTTCACCCAACCCCTACGAATCCCCCTTCCCCCCTCCCAATCAGTCTCAGATAACCGTCTCCTTCCAATCAGTCTCAGATAACCGTCTCCTTCCAATCAGTCTCAGATAACCATCTCCTTCCTCCTCTTGCAAAGTAGTCCCTACAACCCCTTTCCCCCCACCCTCCAACCTGCCCAAAGTCAATGTTGAAATTGAAGACAGTCACCCCCTCGCCCAACCCTCGGTACAGCTCAAGTAACCCCCTCAGAGGCCTTCTCTATATCCTCCTCCTCACAAAAGGAGGAAGCCGAAAATGCCGATGCTCGTGAAACGACCTGTTGAAGATTCTCCCAGAAGTCAATTGGGCCACAGATCACACACAGTCCCAGGGTTCAGCACAGTTTCCAGAAACTTCCGGAAGGACGACACAAGTTGCGACCAGAGACAGTCTGCACCGATCAAGAAAATCTCAACTGTTCAAGGAGGCCACCTGAGCCAGGCCAAGGCCGAGTCAACGCTACAAATGCAGGCCCTGCCTCCATTCGGGCATTCATTCTGCCAGGTTGAGTTGATCCTGAAGCTTGCCTGCTGGAATCGCCCCCGGGAGAACTGGAGTGACAGGGAAGGACGCCGTAGCTAGTTATAGAGTAGGGGAGGCCGCTGCCTCCATAGCTGCAAGAGAGAGTGAGAGTGAGTACCGAAGGTTGGAGGTGTGATTGCCATGTGGGAAGAGAGGTTTGCTTACCTGCCGTCTTCTTGTTAATGGTCTTCACCATTGAATGCTGCATTGTCCTGTCCAGGCTCGTTCAAGTTGGCCTGCCTTGAGATTGCATCGCGCAAGAGACATTGCAGCAAGAGTGGTGAGACAGAAATGGTATTGGGTGTGGTAAGGAGAGGCTCGTTGGCAAGAGGGGAGAGAGGAGGCGATTGGAGAAGAAGCGCCCAGTCTTGGAGAGGGTGGTGGTCGACATTGAAATATATGACTACCGTCTTCACCCGAAAATAACGCCCGGGCATTATATTCAACTTTCCGAAAAAAGGCGAGACTTTCGTTTCCAGTCACTTTTTTTCAAATACAACGCACCTTCGAATAGAAGGCCCGGGCGTTATATTCGAATAGAACGCCCGGGCGTTATATTTGAATGTTCCATGGCCAGAGTGCCTTGAAGAGGTAGTATACATGGGTTTTAAAGGGCGGGGAAGGGGGTATACATGGGTTTTGAAGAGGGTTGAATGGGGTCTTGACTTCCGAGGGGTGTATTTCGGCTTGCTTTTTTGTTTTTATTTTTTATTTCCGAGTTAATAGGGAATTCTGAAGTGAACCTCAGCCAAAAGTTGGTCGCATTGCAATCCTGGACAACATATTTTTTTTACAGAATTTTTTGAATTTTTTTTTTCGGAATTTTGGGGTCTCACCAAAGTTACCACAAATTTACTGAATATAACGCCCGGGCGTTATAAACGAATATAACGCCCGGCGGGCGTTATATTCGTACACAACACCCGGGCGTTATTTTCGGGTGAAGACGGTAGTCAAATTACTATGACCCTTCTCTCCTCCATCATCTTCTGCTCTCCTCCCCCATCATCTCGTCTTCTGAGTTCATGTGCAAAGTTTATGCCTGTGAAGTGAGAAAGGCGAGCATTTCAGATCCGTTTCGCATTAGACTGGCAGCGTCACCAAGCCACTGCAGGTCCTAACCTTGTACGGCACTGAACATTATCCACAAACCTCCATAACAACAAACAGCAAACCACAATATACGCAAGAGTACTGCACATCTAGGACAGCTGGCATCCATCTCTCACCTCATCAGTTAGCCATGCATTTCCATCAACCTGGAAATAGTCAGCCTGGTCATCAATGACCTCTGTCCTCTGCGCTGCTGTTCGATCATACTCCACCAGTCGATCCTTGAAAGCAGTTGCTTTCCTCACAGCCTCTATCCTCTCTGCACTCAACTCTCCCCCCTGACCACAGACAGATTCGTACTCACCACCTTCCCTGACCACCAGAGCACCACAGTATGAGCACGGCCCCTCTCCCTCTACTTCACAGACGATCTTGCCACACCGTAAGCAATTAGAAACAAGTTCATGCCTTGTGCATTGGCAGTCGCAAACACCCCTTCTCCCAGCTTCCTTACCCAAGACAGCTGGTCCTGCCCTGTTCCGCCTTTTTCTCCCTGCACTTGCTGGCTGTGGCAATGGTGCACCTAATGTTGCAGATACTGAAGGAGGATCTGTGGCACCTCCTCTTTCTCTCCCTCCACTTCTCCTCTGAAACCTTGTCAGATTTCCCTCTGCACTCCTGGCACTTCCTCCCGGAACATCCTCGAGGCGTGGTTTCATATATGCACGTAAACCACTGGGTCGAGAGCCACCACCATCAACATGTGGGCTATCCCGACCTTGTGCCTGCTCTCTGGCCATCCACACATTGGGCGTTGATCCAGCAGTGCCCATGGCTGCCCATTGCCGCTTGCGCTCCAGGTATTCGGCCACAAGGGCCGTTGCCATCCCCTGATCCCCCAGAATATTCTGCGTAACCATTTCATTTCCAACATCCCACCAATTCCTTTATCAGAAACCACATACAAATCGCACTGCCGCGCACACACACACGAGTGTCATATTGACTTTGTCATATGCACCCCAACCACCTAAAGAGAGCTGGAGATGCAAAACTTCACACAGTCCTCCTCTTTCCTTGGACCACACACACACAGTCTGATGCAACACACCTGTCAAAGGCATTCTCTTTCTTTGGAATAGACACGCACACACACACACACACACACGCATTCTCTTTCTTTGGAATAGACACGCACACACACACACACACACACGCAGCAGGGCCCACTTGCTGTCAGGAAATCATGTAGTTGCCAGCCAACGCAGAGAAGACGAGCTCCCTGGAATCCAGGAGGTCATGGAACACAGCAGTGGTTTTAAAGGAGGGTAAAAGGATCCGGACTGACGGTCCCCAGAATGGATATGGAGTCAGGACCGTAAGGTCCCGTTTTAATTTTAAAAAAAAAGAAAATGAATTATGAACTGAACCTCAGCCACAGCTTGTTTGCACGAACTCAGTATTCGACTTCTCAAATTTCTTTTTGTTTCATATCTTGAGGGAAGTCTGTTTTGTGCACATTGCCATAGAGGTCTGTTTGGTCTCAATGGGCAAACCAATGCGTGCTGATAGCAATGGAATAACCAAGGTCAAAATTCATTTTAATCACCCAAAGAAAGAGCACTAGTGATGGGATTATTACGGGATGGATGCAGGACAGGCTCAACTGTGAAAAGCAAGCAACATTCAGCTCAGTGACTACTCATGGAAGCAAAGCCATCGACAATATAAACAGCATGTCATATTAATAATGTGAGTTGCACACAGGCCATTGGAAGGGGAGGGATGTGGCACAATGGGCTGCATGAACAGGGTAAGCCGGGACGTCCTCACACAGCCAAGAGTCGTCGGGGGGCTAGGGATATTAGACCCAGAGCGGGAAAGTGTTACATGCTGAGAGCCTCCACACGGGCCCCTCACAGGACCCGAGGTTGGATAAGGGCCCCCAGGTCGCGTCACCGCAAGCTGGAGGCCCTACGGCCATTTTACTTAGGCCTGCATCGGAAAGACTTCAACTTTAAGTTGATTTCTTATTTATTTATTTACTGATGTGTTTTTACTAATGTGCTGTTGTCCGTTTTGTGGCCAGGAACACAGTTAGGACCAGGGCCGGAATCAGGCCCAGAGGCTGAGC